GTCTCAAAATAATTATGCTAAGTGAAAAGCCATATAGAAAAGAGTACATCTGGCTGGGTGCAATGGCTCATGCCTGTAATCCCAGCACTTTGGGAGGCTGAGGCGGGCAGATCACTTGAGGTCAGGAGTTCAAGACCAACGTGGCCAACATGGTGAAACCCCGTATCTACTAAAAATACAAAAATTAGCTGGGCTTGGTGGTATGCGTCTGTAGTCTCAGATACCTGGGAGGCCGAGGCAGGATAACTGCTTGAATCTCAGAGGGGGAGGTTGCAGTGAGCTGAGACTGCACTCCCGTGTGTGGGTGACAAAGTGAGACTTCACCTCAAAAAAAAAAAAAAAAAAGTATATCCTATATGATTGCATATATCCCAAAATCTAGAAAATGCAAACGTAAAAACAAAGCAGATCAATGGTTGCTTTTGGATGGCGGTGGACATGGAGAGGCGGGAGGGAGGGATTACCAAGAGTCATGAGGAAACTTTTGGGGTTGACAGGTACGTTTACTATCATGATTGTGTTAGTGGTTTTATAGATGCATACATGTGCAAAATCTATCATATTGCACATTGTAATCTTGTGTAATGCTTGGAGTGTCTACTTTCTGTGTTTCAATTATACCTCAAGGGTTATTTTAAAAAATAAAATATTTTTAAAAAACAAGCTGAGGCTGGGCGCGGTGGCTCACACCTGTAATCCCAGCACTTTGGGAGGCTGAGGCCGGTGGATCACGAGGTCGGGAGATCAAGACCATCCTGGCTAACACAGTGAAACACTGTCTCTACTAAAAATACAAAAAATTAGCCGGGCGTGGTGGCGGGCACCTGTAGTCCCAGCTACTTGGGAGGCTGAAGCAGGAGAATGGCATTAACCCAGGAGGTGGAGTTTGCAGTGAGCCAAGATCGTGCCACTGCATTCCAGCTTGAGTGACAGAGGGAGACTCCCATCTCAAAAAAAAAAAAAAACCCGAGCGCAAAGGCTCACGCCTATAATCCCAGCACTCTGGGAAGCCAAGGTGGGCAGATCACAAGGTCAGGAGTTCAAGACCAGCCTGGCCAATATGGTGAAACCCCGTCTCTACCAAAAATACAAAAATTAGCCAGGCATGGTGGCGGGCTTCTGTAGTCCCAGCTACTCAGGCGCCTAAGACAGGAGAATGCCTTGAACCTGGCGGGGCGGAGGTTGCAGTGAGCGGAGATCATGCCAGCCTGGGCAACAGAGTAAGAGTGTCAAAAAAAAAAAATTATATATATATGTGTGTATGTGTATAGTGCATAGTTGGAAAAGAAAATACTGGTTTTCACGGGTGATTGGCAGCTAGCTGTAAGTGGAAGAAGTGCATTTTCCTTTCTTTCCAGGTCCCAGAGAAAAACCTCCATGCTGGGTTGATAGCAGCAGCTAGGATCAGTTGCCCAATACTCTGGATTCTCGAGATGAAGACCGTCTGCAGAGGCTGACCTTTCCTGCAGGCTCATGTCCTAAAGCAAATTATTTGCACTCAAATATCCTCCCTTGTAGGACAGAAAAGAAGTTCCCAAGTCTTGGTCACATTGGGCCTGTGGAGTACAGTATCTTTTCTACATATTTGCTTTTGATGTTCTCAGCATCCCTGCAAGGCAGGTTGAGGTGTGAGGAGTCTCAGTCCCAGGGAGCTGAAGGCAGACTGCAAGAGCTGGGTATGGATGCCGCACTCCTGGGCCTGGGCCGCCTGGGTTTTCTTCAGCCTGGGAAGTACTTCCAAACCCACTCCTCGCTAGTCTCTTACAATCCTGTGGGAGGGCAAAGCCTAAATCATCATGGCTCCTTCCACCAACTAGCTGCAGATCAGGAAAGTGAGGTCCAGGGAGGTCCTGACTGGCTTTGCTCCAGGGACAATGAGGCTAGAGGTCTGTTCCCCACAGGAGGACCATGATGGTTCTCCTGCTTCAAATGGCCTCTTTGGAAGGGGCTTGCTCATGTAGGTGAATCCTGGGGCTGAGCAGCCTCAGTGACAGTCCCTGAAATGGCTGCAGGTGAGGGAGCAGCATGCAGGCATTAACGTCACAGACTGACATCAGGCCACCTAGACTTACATCCTGGCTCCTCTGGTTTCTGGCTCTTTGAAGTTGGACAAGAAATCCCCTTTTTTTTCTTTTGAGAGACAGAGTCTTGCTCCATCACCCAGGCTGTGGTGCAATGGCGTGATCTCAGCTCACTGCCACTTCTACCCTCCAGGTTCAAGCAATTCTCCTGCCTCAGCCTCCCAAGTAGCTGGGATTACAGGCGCTCACCAACATGCCTGGTTAATTTTTTTTTCCTTCTATTTTTAGTAGAGTGGGGTTTCACCATGTTGGCCAGCCTGGTCTTGAACTTCTGACCTCAGGTGATCCAGCGCCTTGGCCTCCCAAAGTGCTGGTATTACAGGCGTGAGCCATGCCACCCGACTGACAAGTCCCCTTTCTTAACCTCCTTCTGCCTCAGTCGACTTACCTGGAAAACAGAGCACCTACCTTCTTCAAATGAGAAGAGAATTAAAGGAGTATAAGGCCATCAGAACAGTACCTAGCCCAAGGGAGGCTATGGAAGTGCTTGTTGAATTAAAAAATGGCTTAATCTCTGGCCTAGTCCCAAAGGTTTGGGTTCCTGCCATTGCCACCCAGAGAGCCCTGGGTGGAGGCCCTGCTGACATTGAAGAGTGCCTGCCCTCCTCCCCTCAATGCGGTAGACACTTTCCAAAACTTACGTCATCTTCACTCCAGTGAGATAATGGGAGGCTTGGTGTACCTCGTTCCTAAGATGAGGGAACAGGCTGTGAGAGGACCACATCACCAGCAAGTGACAGGCTGGGACCAAGGCCAGGCCTGTCTGCCTCCTAGACTAGGCCTGTGTGAGGACCGGCCTTACTACAGCCCACTTGCTTCCTCCTCTGTTTAGAGCTTGGGCTGGAGCTGTCCTGGCCAGAGCTCTCTGCCTCACCAGGCTGCATGAGCCACAAGCTGCCACTTCCTGGAACTTGGTGGCCCTGCCCTGGACGGCCTTGCTGGTGGTCATGAAGGCTCCGTGAAAGCTGTGAACACCTGCATGGCAGTGAGGCCAGCCTTCCCCACTTGATCCGTTTCAGGCTCTGGCTCCGCTACTACGTCGTGTGCTTCTGTCCAAGAGGCAGAGACTGAAACCATCTGCCGCCGCCTGGATTCCTGCAGAGCTTGCCTAGGACACCAGCTCAGGTCCTTGTGCACCATCCTGGTAGGAATCTCTCAGTGACGGTGGAGGGTTTGTGGGCTGGCTTAGGGCCAGGGGTGGGCAGAAAGCAGGGCACAAGGGACCGGAGAGCTTGGCATTTCTCCAGCAGGAGTTTCAGGGAGAGCTCAGATGTCTGCTTATGTGACAGGTTTATCAGCCTGCCTGGCCCAGGGTGGGCTCTCATAGTTTTGATTTAAATAATAGCTTGCTCACAGAATAAGTGCATGTTGGTTTGAGCTTTCATTTTCTCATAATCCTCTCTGCTGGCCCCTCCCACCATCTACCCCATTTTGCCTCACTCTGGGGAGCCTGAACCCCCTGTTCCAGAGTAGGGGCATAGGGAAATGCCTCTATGGCTTCTGAGCTGCTGGGCAGGGCCAGTCCCTAAAACAAGGAGAGCTGGGAGGGGGCTGGACCCCGATGGAGTGCTGAGAGCTGAAAGTCCTATTTAACAATGGGGAGGGAGCAGAAACCCCGAAAAGGGAAAGGCCTGGCCAGGTCCCACGCAAGTCAGGAGCAGAGCAGGGCTGAAGCGTGACATCTCCAGTCTCTCCAAAGCCTTTGGGTGAAAAGTCCACCTAAAGCAGTGAGATCAGTGGGGCCTAAGGAAGATCCTTTTCCTCACTGCCTCCATCCCAGTCCTGGGACCCAACACCGTCCTGCCCTCACCCTCCTTGACCATCTCCTTCTGCCCTGAGAGGCTGTTATGCATCCAGCCAGCCTGGGAATGTGCTGGAATCTGTGCACCACGGCGGATGGATACGCCGCTCACAGTCCTCTGTGGGCCGTGGCTGTGAGGAAAAGTCAGAGCTGGTGGGTTGGGGTGTGTAGGCCCAGGAGGACCCCTGCCTCCTCCTTAGCCTTGGAGCCTCCCTCTGCTGCTGAGTTTCTCCTCCTCTAGCAGGGGCCCACTGCCCCCAGACCTTACCTCCTGGCTCAGCACATGATTTCCCTACTCTGGGCCTCAGTATCCCCCCGGACATCTCTAAATTCCTTTCCCGCCTGCCCTGCCTGTCTCCTGGTTGGGCTGAACTGTAACTCCTCACACAGGGCTGAGGGTGACTGTGGCATCAGGCTTCTGGTTGGGAGCCCACCCTGATGGTGCTTGGGGAGGAATGGACATGGTTCCCCCTGCCAGGGACAGCCCTAGGACTAAGGCCCCCTGCTGCTGGCTATGCCCACCTCCACCCCCCGCATGCTCTCCCACATGGGGGACCCCCAAGGCCTAGAGGGAACACACAGGCACTTTGTGGCCTGCTGTGTCTCCTAACCCCACAGAGCTGCCCTTCGCCAAGTACAGGAGGCCTGGGACTGGGTACTGGGGGTGGCAGGCAGCACTGTACCCTGTGGGAGGCAGGCACCAAATCCTCCCACTTAGTCACTGTGGCCCCTGCCTCTGGTCTGTGCAGCCTTGTCCCCCGCCCAGAGGGCTCTGGTGGCAAGGCTGGCAGCCCGGGCTCGACGTGAGCTTGCTGTGGGGCTCCATGTAAAGCTTTGCTCCTCCTGGGGCTCCCAACCTGCTCCTTCGCAGCTCCCCTTCTCAAGGAGCCCAAGCGCTGCCCAGCTGTGAGGGTCTGCTCCCTGGAGGCCTCCTTTAACTCCCCAGCCCACAGGGATGGACCCAGGACCCCCATATCTTAGACTCCATGGGGGATTTCCCCAAGGAACACCTGGGGGAAGGTCAGTGTGACCTTTGTCCCTCCCTTTTGGATAGACACGCCACCCTTTCTCCCCACCCCAGCAGCAGGGCTGTTGCTCAGTGACCCTGAGATCGGTGATGCAGAAAAGCAGAGGCGGGTGTCACTCTTTATTGCGGGGTCCACACTATGGGTGTTAGGGCTCCTCCCACTGAGGGAAGCCTGAGCCTCTAGCCGGGGCTGGCCTCCTGGCCTCCTATGAGTCCATTCTCCTTCTGTCCCCTTAATCTCAGGCTGAGCATTTGCACTGGATCTCTGGGGGCCTGTGAGTCCTCCTCGACCTTCATGGCCCACTACCATGTGCTTGAGGGCATCACAAGTCAGTAGCAATGAGCCAGGTGGGTGGTGGGTCACCTGGTGCAGCAGGCCCGGGGCTCGGGTCCCAGCCCAGCACCTGTGGAGTCCCAGGTGGAGGCAGGGGTGGTGGTTCCGGCTGCACCACCCTCAGGCTCAAGGTCCAGGCCCTCGTAGATGGTGGGGAGTGAGGTGCGCTGGCTCAGCCGCCGGCGCAGGCCAACCAGCAGGGGCTGGGGCAGGGAAGCCACATCCACGTTGTTGCCCAGGTCTACCCAGGCCAGTACAGGGAACTTGGTGGTGTCCTTGATGGCGTCGGTGAGCTTGCGGGCAGCAGCCCGCGTCAGCCGGTTGCCGTTGAGCAGGAGCTGGGTGAGGCGGGGCAGCGCCCACAGGCTGGGCAGCAGCAGGTGCAGCAGCTCATCACTCAGCCCTGTGAAGCTCAGGTCCAGCACCGCCAGCACAGCACCGTGGCTGCTCAGATAGTGTGTGATGTGCTGCACGTCCCGTACCGACAGTGGGATGCCTGAGAGGTCCACAGTCTCCTCTGCCAGTGGAGTCTTCTGGAGGCTGCCCTTGAGGCTGTGGGAGGGTGGCAGGCGGGGATGGACTAGGCAACCAGGCAGTCCCCCCACTGACCAGAGACAGTAACCTGTCAGGAAAAGCCCAGGCCTATGGTCTGGCAAAGCCAGGTTCAAACTGTCACTTTCTTTCTTTTACTTTTTTTTTTTTTTTTTTGAGACAGTTTTACTCTTGTTGCCCAGGCTGAAGCGCAATGGCACGATCTCGGTTCACTGCAACCTCTGCCTCCTGGGTTGAAACGATTCTCCTGCCTCAGCCTCCTGAGTAGCTGGGATTACAGGCGTGCACCACCATGCCCGGCTAATTTTATATTTTTAGTAGAGACAGGGTTTCTCCATGTTTGTCAGGCTGGTCTCGAACTCCTCACCTCAGGTGATCCGACCGCCTCAGCCTCCCAAAGTGGTGGGATTACAGGCGTGAGACACCAAGCCTGGCCCAAACTGTCACTTTCTAAGTGGGTGGCCATGGGCAATGCTCAGAGCCTCTGTTTCCCCTTTAGTGAAAATGGGACGTGGTTGTTGTGAGAATTGAATACACACACAGTAAGGCTCTATCTTCATGAACTATTATTTGAAATCTCACTGTGTGCCCAGCATCTCCACACTTGTTACATTGACATCTCACTTATTTTTCAGATAGGTGAGATAACTCTTCCATGGCCACACACCACTAAGCGGGGAACCAGATCCCCAAACTGAGATGCTCTGACTCTTGAGCCCACATGTTTTTTTCCCTGTGCCACTTCTGAGGTCGATTCTTTTAGAGTAGGGAGAAATTCTTCTACAAAGGGATGGCTATTAGGCTATACAGGGCACCAGGGCTAGAGAGGGACAGGCCCAGGGTAGTGGGAGGGGAGGTCCTGGGTGTGCAGGCTGGGGACCTGCCCTGGGGGAGGGCTTCCTGTGTTTTCTCGGAAGGGAAGTTCAGAGACTGAGAAAGGACCCCCCCCTCTGGCCCCACCAACCCTCTAGGTCTCTCCCCAGTTACCTGAACAGAGCCAACTAGGCAGACAGGCCTTTTGGGGGATTGACAGCAGTGAGCACACCCTCAGGACCCCCACCTGCCATGGCAGGGAACAACCTTGTGCGGTCCAAGCTCAGCGTGGCCTGTTAGGCCCAAGGTGGGAGGGCAGACAGGGGAGGCCTGCTAAGGTAAGCTCCCGGCAGCAGTTCAGGCCCCTGGGCCTGGGTGCCTGTGGCCAGCTCTGGGCTGAGCCTGTGTGTGAAGCTCCATGGATAGAGTCACTCCAGGATGGAGTGTCTGAGAGGGACCCATGGCAGAGGGAGGTACTGGGCAGCCACGGAGGCCTCAGCTTTAGGCAGCCTGGCAGTGGCAAAGAATTCCCAACAAGGTACAGGAAAATCAGGGTAGAGTGTGGCCTTAGGTATGCCACTTCTCCGAACCTCAGTTTCCTTCCCTCTAAAATGAGAATCACTATCCAGAATCTGCCTCCCCCACAACCTGTTGGGAAGTCTTAGCTGAAAATGCCTTCTGAGGTCACCTCAGCTGTTGGGTGGAGGGCTGGGGTGTCCAGGTCTTGTAAGAGGCCAGGGATTGAGGGACGTGTGAATGGCAGGAGGCAGGACCGTCCCATGGGAAATGGCAAACGGGTCACTCAGAGGGCTCAGCTTGGCTTGGGAAGCATCTGCTGCCACAGGTCAGGCTGACTTCCAGGGTAGGGCCCTCATGTGGACCAGGTAAGGGCCTCACCAGGTGGGATTTCAGCACCAGCCTCTTGGTGAGAGTGCAGCCTGAGAAGGGACCTTGGAACAGCAGTGAGGAGGGGCAGTGGCTAGGCTCCCCTTACCAGCTCTGGGTCTTCCTCTGGCACAGGCTGGACCCTTGCTGCTGCTTCGAGTGAGGGGTGAGGTGGTAGATGAGCTGTCGGCAGATCTTCTCCGAGGACTTCCAGAGCTCGTAGTCCTGTGGGAGGGTAGCGTCACCATGGTGAACCTGAGCCCCTCCTGCCCACCTCAGGGCCTTGGGGAGAGGGGCCCGGGCAGCCAAGTGTGTGTGTCAGCACAGCCGTGCACCATGCATCACTGAGCTGCCCACCAGGGCCTCCCCCTCCCACCCCCCAACCCGGCTGTAGCCTGGCACAGAGCCAGGGGAGGCTGCCCTCTGGGAGCTGGACAGGCTGGTCCAGTCCCGCAGTGCCCAGTGGGAGGACGCCCAGACAATGGGCCCTTGTTCCTTGTCCTCAGGCCCAGGGCCAGCGTCTTGGGCTATCAGCCGGCTGCCTGCCCACCCTCAGCACCCCTCGGGGACTTGCCACAGGGGGAGGAGGCCAGACCAGGCCCCTCGAGGGAGCCCTGTTCCATTGACGCCAATCCCAGGGAGTAGGAACAAGCCAGGTCAGCATGTTCTTCTTCCTTTCACTCTCCAAGCGAGACTGCCCCGTGGGGTCTGGGTCTGGGCTGACAGGGCTGGGGGATGTAATGTTCTACAGCACCACCGCCTGGCTCTCTCTTAGTCCTAACTGGGCTCCTGCAGAGGCCCAGCTCAGGGCAGAATCCAGGGTGCGCGGCCCACAAAGCTGGCACTGAGCATGCTCCACTGCATCCTTTCTCCAGTCCCTCTGTGAACAGCCCCAGGAGCAGGCGGCACACACAGCAGCTGCAAGCCCTGGCCATTCCTCTGATGGCTGTGGGGTAGGCTCAGAGTCCTAGGGGTTGACTATGCAGAGACCTGGGCATTCAGAGCTGGCAGGGCCCATAGCGGATACCCTTGTTTTGGTGCGGGACTCACTGTGACTAGGAGTCGGGGGACAGTGGCTGGTCACATGGCAGCCTCATGGCGGCTCGATGCTCATGGCAGGACATCTGCAGGTGCTGTCAGAGTGGGGCAGCCGTGGGGTAGAGGCTGCAGGTGGCAAACTCCACCCCAGCAATGAGGAGGGCCTTGCTTATGACCCCAGCTGTTGTGGGTGGAAGCAGTGAGCACCTGTCCCCAAGGGTGTCTGTACAGGATGGAGACTGGTGGACAGAAGGGAGCTCTAGCCAAGGGCGGCTCTCTTCTGGCCCAGGAACTCAGAGGCTGGGGGTCTGGTTCCGTTAGTGGATTTCTCAGAACAGTTTGTGTCCCTCAGGGTCCCCATATGACTTCTGCCCAGCTAGTCTCCCCTGCCTGGGTCCCCAGGCCTGGTGCACAGTGCTGCCACACAGAAAACGGGTCTGCCCAGGACTCTGAGGGTCCGCTCACACTTGCTGTAGCTGGTGGCCAGCCTAATATACTGATGCTGGCAGCAGGTCTCAGACAGGGACTGTGACTTGCCTAAGGCCATACAGCAAGCCACAGAAGGACCTAGCTTCCCAGACCTCAGCCCTGGGCTCTGCTGGCCCCTGTCCACCACAGTGCCCAGCCCAGCGCCCATGCCTGCCAGCCTCACCTTCTTGGGGCACTGCAGTTCCCGGGCCAGGTTCATAAGCAGGTCATGGGAGATGGGGTCGACCAGGTTGAGGAAGGCCACATCTCTGTAGAGGATGTCAGTAAGGAGGGACCCCTCAAGGCCCAGGTCCTGTGAGTGAGTGGTGAAGAGAAAGTTGAGTGAGCCAGTCGGGTCTCCCATCTCCAGGTCCCACCCCAGCCAGCCAGATGCTGGTTATGCCCCTTCCTGTCTCCATCTCCTCCCTAAGGCTGGCTGTATTCTCCCCACAGGCGACCATGGGCCAACTGTCCAGTGGTGGGCAAACCCTTTCATTTTTCCTTATTTTTTGAGACAGGGTCTTGCTCTGTCACCCAGGCTAGAGTCCAGTGGTGTGATCTCGGCTCATTGTAACCTCTGCCTCCTCAAGGGATCCTCCCACCTCAGCCTCCTGAGGAGCTGGGGCTACAGATAGGCACTACTATGCTTAGCTAATTAAAAAAAATTTTTTGTAGAGATGGGGTCTCACTATGTTGCCCAGGCTGGTCTCAAACTCCTGGGCTCAAACGATCCTCCCAACGTGCTGGGATTACAGGTGTAAGCCACTTGGCCTTCGTGGACCCTTTGGATAAGTAGAGGGGAGGGACATGGGAGCCATCAGGGAAGTGATAAGTGAATTCCAGAACCCTTAGACCAGTTCCCTCGAGGTAAAGTGTTAGGCTATGACACTGCCTTCTCTGGGCTTAGGGCTTATCAGTGGGATTCTTTGGGGTCTCTCCTCTTATGGACGGGGGTTTGCTCTTCTTATGACCCCTCAAATTCCCCTGGCCCCAGCATTCCCTTCAGACCCTTTGCCTTCCCACCTATCCCTTGGTTTTCCTGAGCTGCTGCCAGCATCTGTTTGCGGACAGGTCTGGATCCTTCCCTTGGGGGCGGACCTCTCTCTCAGATGTCTCAAAGGCATGCTACCCTGAAACCGGCCTCACCACCCATGCCCCATGCCCCAGTTCAGTGTAGGGCGCCTCCATGCCCATCTTCCCAGGCACTGGGGCCAGAAGCCCTGGAACCCCCCAACACTCTGCCCTCCTCCTCTCTCCCCCAGCTCACCTAGTCATCCCTTCTCTCCCCACCACTCCTGCCAGGATTCAGGCCTCCAGCCTCTTCTCCTACCCATCCCTCACCCCACCGCCTGCACAGACCTGCCCTGGCCTTCCTGCCTCACTCCTCCACTTTCTCCTCCTGTCTACTCCCACAGGACTGGTGTGGGGCTGAACACTTTCAGAGGGTCTCTCTCTCTCTCTTTTTTTTTTGAGACCGAGTTTTGCTCCTGTTGCCCAAGCTGGAGTGCAATGGTGTGATGTCAGCTCACTGCAACCTCTGTCTCCCAGGTTCAAGCAACTCTCCTGCCTCAGCCTCCCGAGTAGGTGGGATTACAGGCATGCGCCACCTTGCCCAGCTAATTTTGTATTTTTAGTAGAGATGCGGTTTCTCCATGTTGATCAGGCTGGTCTCGAACTCCCGACTTCAGGTGATCTGCCCACCTTGGCCTCCCAAAGTGTTGGGATTACAGGTGTGAGCCACTGCGTCTGGCCCAGAGGGTCTCTTTAGAGGAGAGATTGAGAGCTGATATGGCAGCCACAGCCAGGAGGGGCCTCTAGACCCCATGTGGGCCTTCTCCAATCCATAGGTGATATGCTGTGTGCGTGGGTCCCAAGCACAGGAAGTTGGGCCAGGCAGGGAAGTCCGTGGGTCACAGCTGCAGGGTCCTTGCAGGTTATGGAGCAGGATAGGCCCCTGGCTGGACCTCAAATCCCAACCTCTGAGACAGAAAGAGGTGACCTAGCTGGTCTCTGAGGACCCTTCTTTCCTCCAGTTTCCCAACTAAAATGCCCAACTGGTGTCTTGGGCTCCAGACGGCATCCCAGACTGAGATCCCTGCCTCTGGGTGCCTGGCTGATTCAGTGCTGCTCTGCTGTTTGCCACAGATGCCAGCTAGGGAAGATCCAGAAGGAAGGCTGGCTGATGAGCCTGGCAGACCCAAACAGGGCCCCAGATCGCAACCTGCCAGCCTGCCTTCCGCTGGTCTAGACAGCTCCTCTTAAAGGGACAGCTCCATTTTTCCAGCCTGCTGAACCCAGAGTTGGAGGAGGTGGAGAAGGGTAGAGAGGAAGAAGGGCTCTGGCCCTGGCTTGCCCCAGTTTTTCTCTGTGGACCCTGGGATGACCACGTCTCCCCATGCCTCAGTTTCCCCATTTCTAGTATACCTTCTGCAGGCCAAACACCTGCATGGCTGACTCCCTGCTTACAGGATGGGGCAGGAGTGGTGGCAGCTGCTGCAGGGGATGGGGACGGGGTGGTGAGGAAAGTGACTTGCCCAGGTGATGGTGGGACCAGCATCCTGGGACGACCCAGGGCTTGGGATCTGGGTTTAGTGTACCTGGTGTGTGTAGGAGCAGGGCCACCACTGGACCAAGTGTTGTGATGCACAGATACTAGGGGTGTGTACTCTAAGGGCATGAGCTGCCTGCTGGAGAACTGGTGATGCATGCGGTGGCTCTGTGTGGGCTGCCATGGTGTCTTGGGATGAGGCTGCACCGGCAGACCAGCCCTGGGTCCTCTCTCCAGGGTCCAGTGCCTCCCCAATCCTGGAGGAAGGGGAAGCTACCTTCTTCCATTGTCTCTCAATACAAGATGATTCGACCTCACTTGCCACTCCTCCCGGGGCCCTTCCCATCTTGCCAGGGCCTGAATCTGAGCTTTTAGCTCCAGGCTGGGGCCACCCTGAACACACACAACCCCTCTCAAACCGCAGAGACCCGGACACACTCAGCGGCCCCCTTCTCCACACACGGTCCGCCGGCCTCACCCAGCCCTCGCTCCAGCCGGCCGCCCTCTAGACCACTCAAGACCCCGCGCCCAGCAGCCCGTCGCGCCCTCGGAACCCGTCCGTGCGCGCCCAAGACCAGCTCCGCCTCGCCTCCCGACCCATACATGCCCACAACCCATAACCTCGCGCCTCCTAGACCCCCAGACCCTCCCTGGCCGCCAGCCCCGGGGCGGCCGGCTCCTTCTCTCGCCTGGCGCAGGAGGCGCAGCAGCTGCCGGGCGCGCTCCGGCCGCCGCTCGCGGAGCGTGGACTGGATCTCGCGAAGCCACCGCACCCGGCGCTCGTAGGGCGCGGGCCTGCAGCCGGCCACCGCCCCGGCCTCGGAGCCTGCCTCAGGCCCGGCCCGCCGGCCCAGCCGCGCCCCCATGGCCACCGCGCGGCGGGCGCCGAACTCACAGAAGGCTGGACGGTCTGCACCCCGCCTCCGGGGCCACCCATAGTCGCCCCGCCCCCACCCACCCCGGCCCCGCCCCGTGCGGGTATGAAGGCTGAGCGCCCGCCCCACCCCGCGCCGGAGCGAGGCCAGTGGGTTCCTCGATTTGGCCTGGTCTTACTGGAGGAGGCCCTGCCTGTGTCAGTCTTGGCGCTAGAGTCCAAGGACCTACAGTTGCCAGGGGAGACGCGGAGCTCGGCCCAGATGAGGTGGCTTTTGGCACCTCTCTACCTTCTGGCCCAAGTGCTGACTGGGGAATAGTCGCTTTGACGGTGCAGAGCATTCCAGGCGGGTGTGGGGGTTCCACTGCGTGTGCCAGCATTAGGTATTGCCCCCACCTGCTTTTAGAAATCTGCCCTGCATGGTGAATCTCCGTCTCTACTAAAATACAAAAATTAGGCCGGGCGCGATGGCTCATTCCTGTAATCCCAGCACTTTGGGAGGCCGAGGCAGACGGAATCTGAGGCCCGGAGTTCGAGACCAGCCTGGCTAATATGGTGAAACCCCATTTTTACTGAAAATACAAAAAATTAGCCCGGCGTGGTGGTGGGCGCCTGTAATCCCAGCTACTTGGGAGGCTGAGGTAGGAGAATCAATTGAACCGGGGAGGCGGAGGTTGCAGTGAGCCGAGATAGATGGTGCCACTGCACTCCACCCTGGGTGACAGCAAAACTATGTCTCAGAAAAGAAAAGAAAAGAAGAAAAGGAAAAAAAAGAAAAGAGAAAAGAAAAGGAATCTTTCCTGCAGCTGGCAGTTGCGGTGTAGGACCTGCTCACACTGCATGGACACTCCTGCACTGGCAAATATTTACTGCCTCCTGCTTTTTGGTTTGGGGCAGGCCCCCACCTCTGACTCCAGCCTGGGGAATAAACCGGATGAAGAGTGAGGTTAACCGTTAAGCCCAGCTCTAGGCAGGCTGGCAGCAGGCGGGCTGTTATCTGCCACTTCAGTCTTCCTCCCTGATAAGGGGTTGGGGGGGTTGGGGCAGGCAGGGTGAGATGGGGGCCCTGGCTCTTCTGAGGACCAGGGTGAAGTACGGACCCACCCTGCTCAAGGAGTATCCCACTTCCCAGGGCCCCCTTCACAGAAGTCTAGGTCTCTGTTGGAGGCCTGCTGGGCCCCTGCAGCCCCAATCCCAGCTCTGGGACCCTCACATCTGGGTGGGGGATGTTTGAGGCACTTATCTGCAGTCCCCACTTCCCCAAGCAAGGAGCATGTGTCTAGCCTGTGAGGATGGGTACCTGTTGTGCAGGAAGGACTGAGCACCGTCCGAGGGCATATAGTGAGGGACAACAGCCAATCACCCGTGTATGTGTGTGTGTGTGTGTGTGTGTGTGTGTGTGTCTTTTAATTACCCTATGAAGATTCAAGGTTCCTTCCTTTGGGTTAAGCACTGCCTGCCCAGAGATGGTAGTAGGGAGAGGGCGGGGTGCTAGGCTCTGTCTTCCTGTGGGGCTGGGTCCCTGAGACAAGACAGAGGACAGCAGGATGTCTTAGCCCCTTGACCATCCACAGACCCCCAACCCCTGCTGGAGTGGTACTTGCATCCCCTTCTCCCCTGGTACCTGCCAGCTGGACCCAACAACCTCTCCTCCCGCTACAGTGCAGCCAGTATTGTCCTGAGGCCACCTTGGCACCATAGGTTTCCTCCCTGGCAAACCTGCATTACGGCCTTGCGTGCCTTCCCCCAGAGCCAAGGCGCTGTTGCTGAACTGAAGTGGCGACAGACCGGGTCAGAGCTTTAAGCAGCAGCCCCAGTGCCCTAGGGACCTCTCAGACCCCCTGCCCAGAGCAGGCAGCAGGTAAGCCCTCCTCCCCTTCCCCTGCAGCCTCAGGGCTGAAGCCAGAGCTGGGAGGGCTCCCAGATCCTGACCATGTCCTCCCAGAGGCTGAGCCAGGCCTGGACACTGTCCCCTCGAATGTGAGAAGACTGGGCAGGGGGAGGGGAGGGAGGAGGGGATGGAGGGCTGAGCCTTGAGGCATGAAAGAGGCAACCTAGGCAGTGGTATGGGGGAGTGCCCAGAGTTTAGAGTCCTGTGGAAGGCAGAGAACTGCCCCAGCCCCTGCCTCTCATCCTCCACCCTCTGTGTCCCTGGCTGAGAGGTTCCTAGAGGACGTTTTTCCAGCAAAAGAGGGAGGGTGGTGGCTGGGCCTAGATCCTTGAATGGGCTTTTCTCTGCCTGCTTGCAGGGCGCCTAGGGTAAATGGGCTCTTGGAGACAATTTCTGACCTAACCTGACTTGAACAGGAACCCCCAGAGGCAGAGCTATCCCCTCAGGCGTGGTGGCGTGATTCCACCTCGCCAGCCCATGTGTTCCACATGGAAGGCTGCTGGCCCCTCTCCCTGGGGTTACCCTGAGCAGCAGAGCTGTGCTTGTTGAGACCCAGGGGGTGGAGGGATTGCGATATTGTCCTCTCAGCTCCCAGGGCTGATGTGGGAGCTCAAGGGCTTACCCTGGATCCTTTTGGGTAGCCCTGCCATCCCTAGGGAGTCAGTGAGGTCAGAGGTTGGGAGCTGGAGAATCAGGTAGGGAGGACACAGCTAGACCTCAGGCTCTAATGGGAACATACTAGGCTCCAAGTGGGACCTGCCAGGAGACAGGAATTGATGACAGCCACACCTTTGGCGTCTCGAGCCCTCTGCCATCCATGCAGTGGCCCAGTTCAAATGACAGGAACACAAGGTCCAGATGGCTCAGTGGGCTGGTAGAGGGCTGTAGCCAGGGCTGGAACTGGCCTTGCACTGCCTCTGGGCCCTTCTCTACCCACCTGGTGGTATTCTTCAAGCCTAGGAGGAAAAAAGGCCAGCTCAGGGTTAATGTAACCTCAGCATGTAGCTGGGTGGCACTGAACCTCCTGGTAGCCACTGCAAAGAAGGATACAGAATGATTTGGGGGCATTCACTAGGAGGAAGGAAGCAGATGGATACTCTGTGGAGACAGGATGTCCCCTGCGCTTGCTCTACAGTTACGGGTTGTCAACCTTCTGCAGGGCCAGGAATTGTCATGAGGCTGTAGTAGGCAGAAGAACTTGGCGGTGGGGAGGGTGAGATCACAGGTATAGGCTCAGGGCCTGGATTCAAATCCCCTGGGCTGCCACTTGTTGGATGTGTAACCACAGACAGAGTAAGGACCTGCCATAGCAAATTACACAACCCACTTCCGTGGCTTAAAGCAACAGAATAGTTCTGGAGGCTAGTAGTCTGAAATCCAAGTATAGGACAAGGCACGCTCCCTCTGAGGACTCCAGGGGAAGATCCTTCCTTGCTTCTTCAGCTTCTCATGGCTCCTGGCAATCCTTGGCCTTCCTTGGCTGCAACTGCATCATTCCAGTCTCTGAAACCATCTACCTGTGTGTCTGTGTGGCCTTCACATAGCCTTCCTTATTTCTGCAATGGGGTCTCACTATGTTGCCCAGGCTGGTCTTGAACTCCTGGGTCCAAGCAGTCCTCCTGCCTCAGCCTCCCAAGTAGCTGGGATTATGGGTGAGTGCCACCATGCCAGCTCACATGGCCTCCTTGTAAGAACTCTAGTGGCTGGGTGCTAGATCACGCCTGTAATCCAGCACTTTTGGAGGCTGATGCAGACAGATCATGAGGTCAGGAGATTGAGACCATCCTGGCCAACATGGTGAAACCCTGTCTCTACTAAAATACGGAAAAAAAAAAAAAAAATTAGCCAGGTGCGGTGATGCGTGCTTGCAGTCCTAGCTACTTGGGAGGCTGAGGCAGGGGAATCGCTTGAACCCGGGAGGCATAAGTTGCAGTGAGCTGAGATTGTGCGACTCTACTCCAGCCTGGCGACAGAGCAAGGCTCTATCAAAAAAACAAAACAAAACAAAACAAAAAAACTCAAGCTACTGGATTTAGGACTCATTCATTCTTTTATTAATTTTTAATTTTTTTTTTGAGACAGGGTCTTACTCTGTTGCCCAGGCTGGAGTGCAATGGCACGATCTTGACTCACTGAAGCCTCCACTTCCCAGGTTCAAGCAATTCTCCTGCCTCAGCCTTCTAAGTAGCTGGGCTTACAGGCGCCCGGCACCACACCTAGATAATTTTTGTATTTTTAGTAGAGACAGGATTTCACCATATTGGTCAGGCTGGTCTTGAACTCCTGACCTCAGGTTATCCACCCCCATTTACCTCCCAAAGTCCTGGGATTACAGGCGTGAGCCACTGTGCCCTGCAGGGCTCATTCATTCTAATCCCGTATGGTCTCATCTTAACTAATTACTTATGTAGAGACCCTATTTCCAAATAAGGTCATGTGAGGAAAAACCAACTCAAACCGTGTTTTTTGGCTGAATACGGTGGCTCACGCCTATCATCTTAGCACTTTGGGAGGCCAAGGTGGGCGGATCACTTGAGGCTGGGAGTTTGAGACCAGCCTGGCCAACATAGCAAAACCCCGTCTTTACTAAAAAATACAAAAAAATACAAAAATTAGCCTGAGTAGCAGGCGCCTGTAGTCCCAGCTACTCAGGAGGCTGAGGGAGGAGAATCGCTTGAACCCAGGAGGTGGAGGTTTCAGTGAGCTGAGATAGCACAACCACATTCCAGCCTGGGTGACAGAGTGAGACTCCATCTCAAAACACACACACACACACACACACACACACACACACACACACACAACTACTGTGTTTTCCTTCTGTTGTCACAAGACAACAATCATCACAGAAGACTTCTGTGACCAAATGTGTGGATTCTCCCCACACACCCAGCAAGAATCAATTCTGCAGCCGACGCCAGCTGGTGTCTTCCAATTCAACTCAATTCTCATGCTGTCTACCTGGAGATGGCCTCAGAAACCACAGGTTGAGGGCTTGGTCCCACAAGACCACCCCTCATCCCACCAGTCACAAGTCTGGGCTTTGGGAACATCTGACTAATCGGCTTCTAGTTGGGGTTCCTACAGCACCCTCTTTGGGTTCAATTAATTTGCTAGAGTAGCTCACACAACTCAGGGAG